TCTTTCCTCTCTACCACTGGGAGGTTTTGCCTTCAACCTGACTCATCACTATATCTGTTTTCCCCACTCTCTATCCCCCCATCTCTCTCAATTTCTGTTATTGATTGATTGATTTATCATTGGTGGGGATTGAGCCAAGGGCCTCACACATGCTAAGCAAGCAAGCAAGTACTCTACCACTGAGCTACATTCTAAGCCCTGTCCTAATTTAAAGACATATACATCTTTTTCTTTCCTTTTCCCTGTTTTTTTTTTTGTTCTTGTTGTTTTGTTTTGTTTTGTTTTGAAACAAGGTCTCACTATGCAGTCCAGGCTGGGCTTGAGCTAACTTTGTAGCCCAGGTTGGCCTCAAACTCTCAATGATCCTCCTGCCTCAGCCTCCCAAGTGCTGGGATTACAGGCATGTGCCACCATGCCCAAGCTCCTTTCCCTGTATTAAGCCTTGTCTTCATGAGCATTTTTTTCCTTTGTCTTTTGATTTACCTCCTATCCCTCTGTTCTGACCTAGTCTGCTCCCAGGTGCATTTCATTCTAGATCTCTTTCATTTTTATTTCCTTTTCTGTCTTTGTCTCTTTTCCTGTCTTCTATGTCTAGATGTTTTTTTCACCTGATGCCTTTCTGCCGCCCCGTATTTGGTGTTCTGTCCTTCTCTGTGTCCCTTTCCTTCCCCTCTCTCTTTGTTCTTATGAACCTCTTTGGGGTCTTGTAGCTGTCTGCACACCAGGATACACAAGAACTGTTATCTCTTGCTACCCAAGGTTCAAGACACAGTTCTTTGGTGTTTGTCAGTTCTACATACTGTCCACAGCCTGTGTGAGCGAGGCGTAGGCACAGCTACCAGAGTAGCTGCTGCTTCACCTACTATCCAGCCCACACCTTTCTGCTCAGCTTTAAGCCCAAACCTTTTTAAAAAAATGATACTTCTGCCAGGCATGGTAGCACTATCACTCAGGAGGCTGAGGCAGGAGGATCATTTCAAGTTCGAGGCCAGCTTTGGCTACATAGTGAGTTCAAGGCTAGCCTAAACAACATAGCTAGACCCTGTCTCCAAAAACCAGGAGAAAAAAAAGATACTTCTAGCCAGGCATGGTGACACATGCTTGTATTCCCAGTACCCTGGGAGGCAGAGGCAGAAAGACTATAATTTTGACTCCAGCTTAGGTAATTTAATAGCAAGACCCTTACTGAAAAAAAAAAAAGAAAAAGAAAAAGAAAAAGAAAAAGAAGGCATGGAAGGCATTGGGGATGTAGCTCAGTGAAAAAGCCCTGGATTCAACCCCCTCCCCAAACTAATGCAAAATAAATAAATAAAATTTCTCCCAACTTTTTTTTGTACAGGGAATCGAACTCAGAACTTTGCACTTACCAGGCAGGTGCTTGTGCCACTGAGCTACATCCCCAGCCCTCTCCCAAATTCTTGTTCTGAAACTTGGCACTTAAAAGTAAGTAAACATTTATGCTACCTGTCCTTATATAAACTATGTTTCAGGATAACCAGATAGTTCTAACTGGTGGAGACTATCCCACATTTAAAGAAGAATTCCAGGTAACGTGAAAGGATTATGGAATGAGAAAAATCAGCATTTTGCAATTCCTAATGATATAATTGAAGCAAGAATCACACACGGATGAATCAAGGACAATGGTTGATAGAGAACTTTACAATGGACCAACCAAGCTGCCAGCACTTCAGTCCATGGATGTATCTTAGCATCACTAAGAAAGGACACTCAGACATCGTGTAGCTTTTGATTTATGAAATCTGAAGCATTCAGCACAACCAAGGAAGGATCCCCCGCCTAAGGAAGAATTCTTGCCAAAGAAAGAAACAACCAGGAAACTGAACATTAGTCAAACCTTCTAGTGCTCATTTCTATTTGATGGGAATCTGGAGAAGGAGGAACACATTAAGTGACACAAGGAAGAAGTAAGTAGACATATCCAAAATGTGGGACATTTTTTTTGTTTGTTTTTTTTCCCAATACCGGGAATTGAACTCACGACCTCACGCTTGCCAGGCAGGCACTGTGCCTCTGAGCTAAATCCCCAGCCCCAAATGTGGGACGTTTTAAAGAAATCTCGAGCTGGTCATGGTGGTGCACACCTGTAATCCCAGCACTCAGGAGGCTGAGGCAGGAGGATCGTTGTGAGTTCGAGACCAGCCTGGTCTACAAAGTGAGCTCAGGCCAGCCTGAACTGCATAGTGAGACCCTGTCTCAAAAAGACAAAAGAAAAAAAAACCCACAAAAAAAGAAATCTGGCGCAATCTCAACTAGTCAGGGAAGCAAAGTGAGAAGGGACTTCGAAAGACAACTATAGGACCTGGGCATGTGGCAGGATAGGCCCAGTACAGCACTTATGCAGCATGTACAAGGCCCTGGGTTCAATCCCTAGCTTTGGGGGCAAAAAAGACAATTACGTGGAACCTGTGGACCGCCTTTGGTTCAGGACTGGGGAGCTCACCTGCCTGTAAAAACACATTTTCAGACAGTTGGGAACATTTAATTGTGGGCTGGGTGTTTATGATGCCAAGAAATCAGTGCTAATTTTGTTAGATGTAAAAACGGCCCTGAGGTTATGCAACAGGAGGTCCTTATTTTTTTAGAGATGTATGTTCAATTATGGAGCAAAGTTAGCTATTTATTTTAATTTCAGCAGAGAAAAAAAAAAAGACCACAAGGACCAAAAGTGACAAATTCCATAATTGTTAATTGTATCTGTGGTTTCATAGAACTATGGTATCTTTGTGTATGTTTGAACTTTTTGTTTATTTGTTTGAACACTTCTGTAATAAAAGTTTTAAGTGAAGCTCCTCTGGTACGCATGAGTTCTAGCGTCTCCCAGAATGTTCTCCCTAGCTGCCTGGCGAGCTAGGACTTCCCCATGGCTCATCTCATGCAGATCACAGCTGTCCCTGCTTGCCACCAGGAGCAGATGTCAGAGATGGATTGTGCTTACAGGCTACTCTATCCCTCCCGGTCCTCTGACAGCAAATAACCCATCAAGACCTTTCCCACCTGTGCTTCCCACTTCCGAGGGGCCGGGGAAACCTCGAGTACATGTATTTTTTTAGCTGGCCATGGTGGAGCACATCTGTAGTACTAGACCTCAGGAGGCTGAGCCAGGAGGATCACTGCAAGTTTGAGTAGCAACTACACAGCAAAACTCCTCTCACGAAAGAAAGAAAGAAAGAAAGAAAGAAAGAAAGAAAGAAAGAAAGAAAGAGAAAGAAGAAGAGTGTACATATTTTAATAGGTCCTCTGATAAAGGTCATCTCAAAACAATGTAATCTTGCTTTTGGTCTCTATCAGAAGCTTCTACGCAAAATACAGTGCAATAATGATAGACACTGGTCTCCATCCTGTGAAACAGAAGGCAAGGTCACTATATTTTATCTGCTGCCTTCCTCCAGTCCAAGGTGACCTCCAGCCCCAAAGAAAATCCACCAACAATTTAATGTCAGGTGTTCAAAAGCTTAAGCTGGGCTGGGGCTTTAGCTCAGCGGCACAGCGTCTGCCTGGCAAGCGCAAGGTCATGAGTTCAATTCCCAGTACCAGAAAAAAAACTAAAACAGGGGCTGGGGATTTAGCTCAGCGGCAAAAGCGCCTGCCTGGCAAGTGCAAGGTCATGAGTTCGGTTCCCGGTACCGGAGAAAAACCGAAAAAAAAAAAAAAAAAAACTAAAACTAAAACAAAAATAAAAAAACAGTAAAAAAAAGTTGAAGCTTACTGGGTATGGTGGCGTACACCTATAATTCCAGCACTCAGGAGGCTGAGGCAGGAGGATCAATGTGAGTTCAATGCCAGGGACTACATAGTGAGTTCAAGGCCAACCTAAACTACATAGCAAGACCCTGTCTCAAATAAAATAAGACAAACAAAAAAAGAATGTATTTCTCCAGATGTAATCCCAGATCCATCCCATACTCCAAGTTTTAGTAGAAACAAAACCAGATTTAGCCTGGGCTATAAAGTGAGCTCAAGGCCAGCCTGAACTGCACAGCAAGACCCTGTCTCAAAAAGACCAAAAAAAAAAAAAAAAAAAAAAAAACCAACAGATTTACTAATTACCTATTCAAGTGACTAGACTCATTTAATCTTCTCAGAAACCATGTGAGTATGGAAATGGAAAGATTTGGGTCCTACTTCCTACTTTACCACTGACCATGGGACTCTGGGCATGTTACCTGACCTGTCCAGCTCTGGGGTGTTGACAGTACCTTCCTTAAGGTTGTAACAGTTAAATGGCATACATTCTCTATAAAAGTTGATACAGGACTTTTAGTTTGTTTTGCTCTTTGAGACAGTCTTGCTATCTAGTCCATGCTGGCTTTGAACTTGCTTTGTACCCTAGGCTGATTTTGTTTTGTTTTGTTTTGGTTCCCCCCCACCAACCAGGATTCAAACTCACCACCCTGCGCTGCACCACTGAGCTAAATCCCCAGGCCCCCTAGGCTGATTTTGAATTTGGAATTCTGCTTCAGCCTCTCAATTGCTGGGATTACAGGCATGTACTACCACACCTGGGTACTAGGATTTTTTTTTTCTTTTTTTGCACTGGGCATTGAACCCAGAGCCTTCACACTGAGCCAGCTACACCCCAGTCCCTTTTCTTTTTTCTTTTTAAAAAGTTTTTTGAGACAGTATCATCCATGCTGATCTTGAACTCACTATGTAGTCCAGGCTGGCCTTAAAGTTGTGGCAACTCTCCTGCCTCAGCTTCCCAAGCACTGGTATTAAGGTGTGCACCTCCACACCCTGCTCACCCAAGTCTTTTTTATCATTACTACTTTTTGAGACAAGATTCACTAAATTACCCTGGTGGGACTTGACTTTTCGCTCCTCCTGCCTCAGCCTTCCAGCGTACTGGGATTACAGGCATGTGCCACCATGCCCAGCTTTGGCAGGATTTCTTAAAACAGATTTTAGGTACATAATAATTGTTTGATAAATGTTAGTAGTTAACATGGGCCAGTACATCCTATAGTAATTTACATGGATTAATTTATTCATTTATTTGTAGAATATTTATGGGTTGTTTATTATATACCACCGTTTTAAATACTGGATATAGAGAGGCCAGGGGTGTATAGCTCAGCGTCACAGCACCTGCCTGGCAAGCACAAGGTCATGAGTTCCATTCCTGGTACAAAAAAAAAAAAAAATACAGGATATACAGGTGAAGAAAACAGATACAAATCTGCAGGGGGAAGAAATAGTCAATAAACAAGTAAAACATAGTGTGCCAGATGATATTCAAAGCTGCGGGAGGGGGAAAAGTAGCAAAAGCAAACAGAGTTGGAAGGAAAGCAGGTGTTGGAGGTGGTCATGTTGTTTTTAAAAAGATGGCCCAAGGAGGCGTCTCTGATAAGGTGACATTTGAACAGAAAACTGGAGGAGGTGAAGGAGAGAACCGTGTGGGTGTATCTGAGAAGAACCTCTCGGGAACAGTGGGCGAGGGCCCTGATTGTAGCTGGTAGTATAGATGGAGTAGAAGGAAGAGCGGTAGAGGATGCCATCAGAGATTTTTTTTTTTTGGTACGGGTAATGGAACTCAGGACCTTGCGCTTGCCAGGCAGGCGCTTATGCCACTGAGCTATATCCCCTGCCCCAAGAGAGTTCTGCGAGCCGTTATTAGGATTCTGGCTTTCACCCTCACGGGTAGTCCCTGGAGGGTCTCTCGGACAGAACACTGAGGCCAGAGGGAGGCTAAGAACCTTTTCCAAGGTGGGACAGCACCCAAGGGGCAGGAGGTGGAAGTTCAGCTCCAGGGCTTAAGTCCTTAACCCTGTGCTGCAGTGAACTTCAGCCTTCTTTATCTGGGCACCGCTCTCTTCTGACTTTATACAAAGAAACTGGGTCGCTGAGAAATTATGCGGCTTGCCTAGGGCCACACAGCTGGTAATCAGGTAGGACTGGAGCCTCGGTCTGTCTGCCGTCCAAGTTCTTGACACCACACTGCCTCCTTCAGGTGTCCAGACACTACTGACGTCCTGCCTGGAGGTCATGATGGTGGCAGGGGCAAACCGTCCCGGCGCAGGGCAGCGGAGTTCTTCAGGAAGTGGCATCGCAAGCATCTTTCCCAGACAACGAACGCACGAAAAGAGAACATGAGCTTTTATTTCGGAGGCTCCGCAGGCATCCGGGAGGCACCAGAAGGCAGGAGGAGCGACGGCACCAGCAGCAGCCGCCATCACCGCCGCCCGCGTCTCCCGTCACCCCTTCCCCTCCCGACTCCACCCCGCGCCACCCTCGCTGCCCGGCTCCGGCGGGAAGGCGGGGCGGGGGCGGGGCCTCGGCCGGGCGCCCGCGTCACGTGACGCGCCCAGCATGGCGGCGACCGGAGGCCTGGCCGGTTCCCGGAAGCGGGCTGTGAGGGGCGGGCGCGCTGCTGGAGCCCGAGCGGAGCCGTAACCAGAGCTGGGAGGGCGGCCCGGCGGCCTGGAGCCGGACGTGTCCGGGGCGTCCCCGCAGACCGGGGCAGCAGGTGAGACCCGGACTGGGCGAGGTGCTGGGTGGGGGGGCAGGGGGCGCAGGGGGTGTCGGTGAGCTGAAGCGGGGGAATCTGAGGTGCACGCGCGCGATCGCGAAGCAGCTCGAGAGGCCCGCGCGCGGGGCAGGGAGAGGATGCCCGGGACAGATGTCGAGACACTGTCGAGGGCAAAAACGGGGTCGCTGGCAAGGATGGGGGGTCACGGAAGGGAGTGTGCAGAAGCTGCGGTGGGAGAGGGCAGCAGCCCCTTTGGAACTTGCGGGACCGGGACTCCGAAGGGACTCCCTCTCTGCTGTGGCAGGCAAGCGTGGGACGAGTGCTCAGGCCTCTCCCCTCTCTCCTTACCCCTCCCTGCCCCACAGTGTCCTAGGAGACAGCTCGGGAGAGGCCACTCCTCCCACCCACCCAACTGGTCCCTCCGGTCTTAGCCCTGGGAGAGTGGAGTTGGAAGAGGGTTGGGTGGAGCTGCCTTCTGCTTAGGCACCCAGCCCCTGGGCTCTGCTGCCTGGTCATTGGATGTGACTCTTGACCCCTGCGTTTCCCCAGGTCGTCCGGGGGCCCACCATGCTGGTGACTGCCTACCTGGCTTTTGTGGGCCTCCTGGCCTCCTGCCTGGGGCTGGAACTGTCAAGATGCCGGGCTAAGCCCCCTGGAAGGGCCTGCAGCAATCCCTCCTTCCTTCAGTTTCAGCTGGACTTCTATCAGGTCTACTTCCTGGCCCTGGCAGCTGATTGGCTCCAGGCTCCCTACCTGTATAAACTGTATCAGCATTACTACTTCCTGGAGGGTCAGATTGCCATCCTGTATGTCTGTGGCCTCGCCTCTACAGTCCTCTTTGGCCTCGTAGCCTCCTCCCTTGTGGACTGGCTGGGTCGGAAGAAGTCTTGTGTTCTCTTCTCCCTCACGTACTCTCTGTGCTGCCTAACCAAATTGTCTCAGGACTACTTTGTGCTGCTGGTGGGCCGAGCACTTGGTGGGCTGTCCACCGCCCTCCTCTTCTCAGCCTTTGAGGCCTGGTACATCCATGAACACGTGGAGCGGCATGACTTCCCTGCTGAGTGGATCCCGGCTACCTTTGCCCGCGCTGCCTTCTGGAACCATGTGCTGGCTGTAGTAGCAGGTGTGGCAGCTGAGGCTGTGGCCAGCTGGATGGGACTGGGGCCTGTAGCCCCCTTTGTGGCTGCCATTCCTCTCCTGGCCCTGGCTGGGGCCTTGGCCCTTCGCAACTGGGGAGAGAACTATGACCGGCAGCGTGCCTTCTCAAGGACCTGCGCTGGAGGCCTGCGCTGCCTCCTGTCAGACCGGCGCGTGCTGCTGCTGGGCACCATACAGGCCCTGTTTGAGAGCGTCATCTTCATCTTCGTCTTCCTCTGGACACCTGTGCTGGACCCACATGGAGCCCCACTGGGCATTGTCTTCTCCAGCTTCATGGCAGCTAGTCTGCTGGGCTCTTCCCTGTACCGCATTGCTACCTCCAAGAGGTACCACCTTCAGCCCATGCACCTACTCTCCCTTGCTGTCCTCATCGTCGTCTTTTCTCTCTTCATGTTGACTTTCTCCACCAGCCCAGGCCAGGAGAGTCCGGTGGAGTCCTTCATTGCCTTTCTTCTCATTGAGTTGGCCTGTGGGCTGTACTTTCCCAGCATGAGCTTCCTGCGGAGAAAAGTGATCCCCGAGACAGAACAAGCTGGTGTCTTAAACTGGTTTCGGGTGCCCCTGCACTTACTGGCCTGCCTGGGCCTCCTTGTCCTCCATGACAGTGACCGAAAGACAGGCACTCGGAATATGTTCAGCATCTGCTCTGCCGTTATGGTGATGGCTCTGCTGGCAGTGGTGGGGCTCTTCACAGTGGTAAGGCATGATGCTGAGCTCCGGGTGCCCTCCCCTACTGGGGAACCCTATGCCCCTGAGCTCTAGCCTGGTTCTAGAACAAGGGCTCTGAAATGGACCCTTTTTTTTTTTTTTTTTGTACGGGGAGTCGAACTTAGGACCTTGCGCTTGCCAGGCAGGCGCTGTGCTGCTGAGCTATATCCCCGCCCCACCCCCTTTTTTGTGGTACCGAGGATTGAATCCAGGGCCTTCACACTGAGCTACATCGCCAGACTTTTTTTTTTTTTTGGCAGCCCATGTGTCTCTTTTTCTTCCTTTTTTAAATTTTGAGACAGGATCTCACTATGTTGTGACCCTCCTGCCTCAGCCTCCCAGAGTGTTGGGATTACTGGTGTGTACCACCATGCCTGACTTGGCATGGACTCTTGAATCCTCCCTCTTCAGGGTTTACGGATCTCTCTGTGACTCACTTTGTGACTCTGTCCTGCAGCCCTTCCTGCCAGTGCTTTGTGTTGAGAAGGACATGGGGGTGATGGACTGGAAAGAAGGTGCCAAAAGTTGACCCTGTCACTCCCTGTTCCCTCACCATTGAAAAATAAACACTTTTTAACAAATCTCCATTGGATTTACTCAGCCTCAGCTTCCCACTTGAGTAGATCTGGTGAGTGGGCAGCTGGAGGTTTTGAGATGCGCATGAGATTACCAGCAAAAGGCTTGTATTTCTGACTTCTTCAAGTCTGCAGCTCAAGCTAAGAACTGTGGGATTGCCTGTCAGCAGAGGTGGGTAAAAGAGCCTGAGGCTCATCTGTCTCTGGGACAGGACCCCTCCCCAGTTGTTAAGCAAAACCCTTCCTCCACACCTACGGTGAGAAGGTCTCTGGATCCAACAGGGTAAAGGCCCAGGGTGCCAGGCCACTGAACACAAATTGGCTGCTACTGTGACTACCCCTTAAGGCAAGCCCAAGGCAGTTCCTGCAGGAATAGGTTTGCAGCTCAGTGCACGCGTGCCGCCCACCTGCTGCCTCTGTGGCTATGGGTGCACCATGGGTCCAGCATTATCTGGGCTCACCAGGTCCTGTGCCCCTGCGTAAAACCTAAGTGAAACGCTGAGCAACCAGGATGTCTTGTCTGTACCTGACTTTTCCCCACCCAGCCTGAGTGACAGCGAGGAGCCATGGGGCAGGAAATACTACCAGCAGGAACACCAGTTCGGTGGGCCCCTCCCTACCTCACCTCTGATTCTATCTGCTTTTCCTCCTCCCACCAAAACTTGGACTTCTCAGGCGAAGCAGAGCCAGCTTTAGGGAGGGTGGGGATGTGGGGAGAGTGGCGCAAGGGTGTGTCCTGGAATGTGCTTGAGACAGCTTGGGAGACCCACCTGTTCTGCAAAGGGACTGAGGACCTTTACTTGGGTTTCACACTGCTCGCAGACAGGAAGATTCCGGATGTTCTAAGCCCTGCAGGTCCCGGCCTGCATGGAGAGATAGCATCAGCTGGTGCAGGAGGAATGCGGGGTGGAAGGGCTCCTGAAGGGTGAGGCTGGCAAGGGAAGGATAGTGGTCCCAGTTCCTACTCAGAACAGAACATTTGTGTTCACCCACCCACATGAAGCACAGACAGCAGGCGGGCTGGGGATTTAGCTCAGCGGCACAGCGACTGCCTGGCAAGTGCAAGGTCGTGAGTTCGATTCCCGGGTACTGGAAAAAAACCAAAAACAAAAAAAGAAGTACAAGCAGCAGGTATTTTCCTCCCCTTATCATCTTAAGGCTAGACAGTCTGTGACAGTAACTTCACTTCCTTATTCTGCCTTGTGGAGCTGGGCCTAGATATATTTCATGGTTATTTGTGGACGTTCCTCTCCTCCTATCCTACTGTTCTCTTCTTGAGAGAGGGCGGAAACTGTCCAAGCTGTGACTCCCATATAGTGAATATATACAAGGGGGCGCTCCGCCTGTGGCTGAGCTCAGTACGTCTGGAAGGGAGACAGAGCCGTCCTTGTGGAAGTCCATTAGACTAGAATCTACAGCCCATTAATGATTTATTGTTTGGGATGACAGTAATTACTGTTGGAGCCATGAGGGGGCCTCACATTCCTAAGTGATAAAGTAAATACGGGGACTGGAGAGACAGACTAAGGTTCTTCTAGTTTTGTCCCAGCTGAGCTTACAAAGGGGCTGCTAGCAGTGCGGCTTCTTTCCTATCAGATTCACAGTGTATTGAGAGCTAGAAGACAGTTTTAGGACTGGCTCTTCAAACTTAAACTTTTTTTTGATTGACCACTATTATATGCCATGCATTATGTTATTAGATACTTTAGAATTTTATTATTAATACTATTAATAGTTACTAATACTATTAGAATTATTTTTTAACCCAAAAGAGCCAGGTGTGGTGGTGCATACCTATAATCCTAGCACTGAGGAGGCTGAGGCAGAAGGGTCATCAGGAGTTCAAGGCCAACCTGGGCTACATAGTGTGTTCAACGTCAGCCTGAACTACTTAGAGAAACCCTGTCTTAAAGGAAAAACCACTTAAACAAAGTAACGTACCTGGGCTGGGGATTTAGCTCAGCAGCACAGCACCTGCCTGGCAAGCGCAAGGTCGTGAGTTCAATTCCTGGTACTGGAAGAAAAACAGCGAAAAAAGAAAGTAACTTACCCAAGGGCTTGTAGCAAGTGGTAACACAGACTAAACCTTACATCTTGCTGCCAGACCAAGGCCCCTTCTCTTGACACACGCTGCCTGTGTCCTATCTGCATTTTTAGCCTCAAACCCTGCCCAACCCCCAAATTCTGTCCCTAGAGATAGACAAGAGGGTGGGAGCATTTAGCCCTGGGCGTCTGGCCCACTTACAAGTATTTCTGTGGTTCAAAACAGGAGCCCTGAGTGGTGCCCCATCTCTGTAATCCCAGCACTCAGGAGGCTGAACCAGGAAGATCTCGAATAGGATAGCCTGGGCTACACGGTGAGATCAAGACTAGCCTGAACTACATAGTAACACCCCCCCCAAAAAAAAAAACCACGGTTGCCAGGCTCACAGAGTGCACACTGCACACCGCCTACAAAGCACTCCTCGTGACACTCACTAGAGGCAGCACAAGGAGCTGGCTGAGAGCAGGGATTCAGGGCTGGACTGGCCCCAGTGGTAGAGCACTTGCCCAGTGTGCATGAGGAGGCCTGCCTTTGATCCCCAGCACTAAAGAGGGGCAAACCAACAACAGGAACAACAAAAGCACAGACCCAGCCCCAACTACCTGGTTCACATCTGGCTCTGTCTTTGTGTGCCTCTATTTGCTTACCTGCAAAGTGGAGAGGACAGTATAGTTTGTGCCCTATAATAGAGAGGGCCCTTGTGGGGATTAAATGATTACTATAGTTAAGTGCTTACAACAGTACTTGGGGCTACAGAATAAGCATGAGAGAAGTGGGCTTTTTTTTTTTCTTTTTTGGTGGTGGCGCTGAAGATCAGATCCAGGGCATGGAGCATGTTAAGCTCCTAAGCATGTACTCGACACTGAGCTCCAGCCCAGCGCCGGGGTTGGTGTTTGTTTTTGTATTTTCACTTCCCAGCCCAGCCGAGTCTGTCTGGCCGTGGATGTGAGAGTGAGTGGATGCGGCTGCAGATGGGGTGTAGAACTTTCCACCACATCCCTGTGGCCGGGGGATTCCCAGCAGTGTTTATCCTTGGCGCTGGCCCAGATGGAAGTATCAGGCTCTCTGAGGGACCTCTACTTTGGGTGTGTGAGAGCTGCTGGGTTGGGTGTCAGTATGTTCCACTTGAACTTATTTCCTCTTCCTCAAGTGGGAAAGTCAGTTTGGGGTCAAACTTGATATATATCATCTTTCTTGCAAAAAGCTCCTGATTTTCTGAATTTCCATCCCACTGAACACATGATTATTTGATCTGGAGTTTAAAAAAAATTTTGTTTTAGCTAGGCCTAGTGACCCACGCCTGTAATAACAACACTCAGGAGGCTGAGGCAGGAGGATCGCTGTGAGTTTAAGGCCATCTTGGGCTACATAGTGAGTTCAAGACCAGCCTGAGCTATGTAGCAAGACTGTCTCAACAAACAAAAAAAGACTGTTTTTATCAGTATATGTTTGCAATGCAGAGTTTGCAATACATTCAGTTTGGGGGTTTGATAGATATGCAGGTCACATCTAAATCATTTTTGACAGGTATGGTGGCCCATGCCTATAATCCCAGCACTTGGGAAGCTGAGGCAGGAGGATCTATGTGAGTTCGAGGCTAGCCTGGGCTATGCAGAAAGACCTTGTCTCAAATAAGCAAAAAATCAGCCAGGAGTGATGGCTCACGCCTATAATCCCAGCATTCAGGAGGCTGAGGTAAAAGAATTGCTGTGAGTTCAAGGCCAGCCTCAGCTACAAAGTATGTTCAAGGCCAGCCAGAAGTGCATAGTAAAACTCTTTCAGAAAGACCAAAAAAAAGCAAACAGAAATACCCCGTCTAGATCATTTGTAGTCCTCCCCATCTGTAGCTTTTAAGTGGTCCTGAAGACAGAAGAGAAACATCCCATGGAACCAGGAGCCACTGGACAAGGAGGCAGGATGGGGCATGAGACAGTTCTGGTTCTGTGGTCTGTAGAACAATTTCTTACTTATTTGTTTATTTGTTGAGACTGGGTTTCACTATATATCCCAGGCTGGCTTTGAATTCACAGCGATCCTCCTGCCTCAGCCTTCTGAGTGCTGGGATTACAGGGGTGCACCACCCCTGCATCTTCCTGGAAATTCAGTCTGCTGTGTGAGGGGAGAGGGCTGTTCCCAGCTGGTGATCAGCTAGGTCTGGGTTCCATTCTTCATTGCATTTTCCCTAACCTCAATGCCATCGGTCCCCCCCATCCCCACCCCAGTACTGAGGACTGAACCTAGCTACATTTTCATTTTGAGGCAGGGTCTCACTAAATTGCTAAGTTTTTCAGGTTGGGCTCAGATTTGTGTGCCTTTTATCTTAGCCTCTGAGTGCTAGAACTACACCTAGAACTGCACCACCAGGCCCGGTTTTCTCTTCCTTCTTTTTTGTTAGTAGGGCTCCATCCCTGGACCTTGCACATGCTAGGCAAGCACTGAACTGCACAACTGATATTGTAAAGAATACATCATATTTATCTTAATGTTCTTTTTTAATGATAAAGTTATAGGGTCTCAGCCAGGCATGGTACTGCATGCCTGTAATCCCAGTATGCTGGGAGGCTGAGGTGGTAAGGTCATGAGTTCAAGCCCAGCCTGGGCAATTTAGTGACTTAGTGAGGCCTTCTCTCAAAATAAAAAAAAATAAGACTGGGAACGTAGCTCAGTGCAAGGCCCTGGGTTCACACACACACACACACACACACACACACACATTTGTCCCAGCCCTCATCTTTTTTTTTTTGGTTGTTCTGTTTTGTTATGAGACAGGGTCTTACTCTATAGTTTAGGATGGCCTTGAACTGTGTACCCCAAGCTGGCCTCAAACTCCTGCTGCCTCAGCCTGCTGAGTGCTGGAATTACACCACCAAGCAGGCTTCACATGTTTCTTATACACATAGCCCAAAAGTAATTCTATTTTATTTTTTTAAATTTATTTTAAAAAATAAAAGAAGGAAAACATATTAACAAACAGACATCCATTTACAAAATAGCATAAGAACAATACAAACAATACAGAGTTACAGACAAAATTGTAGGAAATTAAGAATGGTTGCTGTATTACATATTAATATCTTCAAAGTGGTTTCTCACGAAAACAAATAGAGGCATGCAATATTGATCAAACAAGTAATCATTAACTGTTCCTTTCAGTAAAGCAATAGAAAAGACAGTAGTACAACTATGTTAGCTATCCTGTATATACACACATACAAAATTTCCCCTTCTTTCCCTTCTCTTTTCCCACACCACCGTTGCCCTTTACTCCCAAAAGTAATTTTAGACGATATTTTTAATGCAGTTCAATGATAAAGCACTTGCATAGCACTCACGAGACCTGGGTTTGATTCCCAGCATAGAAAGTCAGTGTTTAGACTTGGGCTCCATCCCCAAAATCGACCTCTCTCTGTTTCTCTGTGTCTGTCTGTCTGTATGTATGTCTGCCTGCCTGTCTCCCCCCATATATATATATGCAAATATTCCAAAATCCAAAATATCAGAATACGAAGCACTTCTGGTCACAAGCATTTTGGATAAGGAATTATTCAACCTATGCTCTTCTTTCACAGAGAAAGAACAAATTGAAGCCAGGTGTGGTGCTACGCAGCTGCAATCCCAGATACTTGGGAGATTGAAGCAGAGGGGTTGTCAGTTCAGAACCAGCCCAGGTACCTGAGTGAGACTCTGTCTTAAAGTTAAGTAAAAAAAATCAAGCCAGGCGTGGTGGTGCATGTCTGTAATCCCAGCTCTCAGGAGGCTGAGGCAGGAGGATCATTGTGAGTTGGAGGCCAGCCTGGGCTACAAAGTGAGCTCAAGGCCAG